AATTATTTTAGTTGAGTTTATTTATTTTAGTTTGACCAGTGAGGGGCAGAGAGAGAGTTAAAAAAAAAAAAAGTGAGAAAGCAAACCTCCAAGTCTGGTATTTAAACTGTGGTCAACCATGTGGGAGTCCAGCGCCTCATGCCACCTGCCACCTCCCCTCTTTTTTTTTTTAATATTTTTGCCATAGGGCATATTCACTTGTAAGAGAGATACAGAGACACAGACATGGGGAACGTGAGAAACTCCTGAGGGAATGGCCATGCCACAATTCCTTCTCCATTCTTCCTTTGGGATTTTGGGCACACATGTACACATACCTATGTTTGTTTTATTGTTTGTTTGTTTGTTTTTTTGTTTTTGGAGAGGTTTTTGCTATAGGGCGCATGTGTTCGCCAGAAAGTGAGAGAAAGACAGAGAGATAGATTGCGAGAAATCACCCCCCAGGGGGGATGGCCATGCCACAATCCCTTCTCCTCCATTCTCCTCTCGGGACCTTGGGCATGCATGCATACATGCCCGGCATGAATTTAAGCCACTGGGTCCGGGACCCGAACCACGGTAGGCTACATTGGAGTTAAGTGACATAGCCATTATGCTAACTGATGGTCCCTGTACCTATGTTTTTTAAGCCACGAGTCTAGGACTCTCATCATGCAGTCAGTCATGTGGAAGACCAGTGCCTTAACCACCATGCCACCTGCTGGCCTTTTAGGTCAGATTTTTTTTAAAAAACAGTTATGCTGTTTTGCACCTTTTTTTCCCTCCCAAACATTGTGAGCATGTGTTCTTATTTCAGATATCACATATAAGTAGGTGGCCTCCCACTTATGATGGGTTGATTTTTCAACTTTATGATAGTGCAAAACTATTGCAATTTTGACATACTTCAGATTTCAAAAGATTTTTGATCTTTTCCTGAACTAGTGATAGGTGGTACATGAGATATTCAACACTACATGATAAAATAGGCTTTGTGTTAGGAGATTTAGTCCATCCATAGGCTAATGTAAGTGTTCTTTAAACCCTACGTTATGGTAGGCTTAGCTAAACTGTGATGTTTGGTAGGTTAGGTATTAAATGTATTAAATGCATTTTAGATGATGTACTCTTTTTTTTTTTAAAGAATTTTTCTATAGGGTGCGTGTAGTCACCAGAAAGACAGAGAGGGACAGAAAGCGAGAAATCACCCCTCGGGGGGGATGGCTACTCCACAATCCCTTCTCCTCCATTCTCCTCTAGGGATCCTAGGCATACATGCACGTACACACGCATGGCGTGACTCTAAGCCACTGGATCCAGGACTCGAACTTAGATCGACTACATAGGAGTCCAGCGACATAGCCATTACACCAACTGCTGTTCCCTAGATGATGTACTTTGAAATATACAGTGGCCTTATTGAGCTATAACCCCATTTTAAGTCATGGAGCTTTTTTTTTTTTTTTTAAAAGGTTTTTGCCTTAGAGTTTGTGTGATCGCTGGAGAGACAGGGAGACAGAGGCCATGAGAGGGAGATGAGAAATCACTCTCCACGATGGTTGGCCATGCTGCAATCCCTTCTTCTCCATTCTCCTCCTGGTATCTTGGGTGCACACACACATACCCTGGTGTGATTTTTCAAGCCATTTGTTTTGGGACGCAAACCCGGTTGGCCATATTTGAGTCCAGTGGTGTAACTTCTATACACCATCTGCTGGCCCCACAGGAAGTATTTTTATTCAGACTATTGTTAATGAACTTTTACATTTTAGACTTAATGTGACTGTTAACTGATTTGGTCAATTTAAGAATATTTAGTTTCTGGTGGCTGGCAGGTGGTGTGGTGGTTAAGGGCGGTGGACTCCTGCATGGTCGACTGCGGTTCGAGTCTAGGACCTGGTGGCAGGTTTTTTCTCTCTCTGTGTCCCTCTCTGGTCAAGTTAAAAAATAAATAAAGTTAAATCAAATAATCCTTTTAAAAAAAGGACATTTAGTTTCTGAACTAATAAGCCATCTTTTTTTTTTTTTTTTGGAGGGGTTTTTGCTATAGGGCACTTGCGCTTGCCAGCCAGCCAGACAGAGACAGAGAGACAGAAAAAGCCCCCCCCGTAGGGGGGATGGCCACACCTCAGTCCCTTCTCCTCCGTACTCTTCTCGGGATCTTGGGCACGCACACACACACGCCCGGCGTGAGTTTTAAGCCACCGGGTCCAGGGCGCGAACCGCAGTTGACTACATGGGAGTCCAGTGACATAGCCATTACACTAACTGCTGGTCCCTAATAAGGCATCTTAATGAAGTATATCAAAAAGGGAGAATTGCTAACATGTCCCAGTTTGACATTTTCAGAAAAATAGATGTATTTTCCTCTATATTCAGAAATATTTTGTAATGAATACTTTAACATTGGTTGTATAGGTATTGTTGGTCACTTGGTTTTTCTTTTTTCAGATCTATAACAAAGTGAGGACTGGAGAAAAAGTGAAAGTTGAACATGTAGTTAGTGTCCTGGAGAAGAAATATCCGTATGTAGAAGTGAATAGCATTTTGGGGATTGATTCTGCTTATGATCGAAATCGGAAGGTAAATAATTCTTTGGCATTTCTACTGTCTTCTCTCCCCCCCCCTTTTTTTTTTAAATAAGGTTTTTATTAATAATGGTGTTGTGGTAGTTACAGCGTTCTTAGCATTTCAAAATTTAGAATCCAGATCACTTTTTAGTGTTTGAAAAATATTTTCAGTTTTTTGAAGATATCACTGATTTTTAATTTGTGTATTACTAGTAAGTTAAAAAAGAATTTCTTTTTCAGAGTGTATTGGCAGTACTTACTTGAAATATGTTTTTGGTAACCTGTTGGAAATATAGCATAGAGGCAGGATATATAATATATGCAGCTTAATATATATTATATTAGCTTTATTTAGTTACTTAGGCTAAGGATGGAAAAACATCAAGAAATTTAATAAATAGAAAGGCAAATTGTGGTAATAAGGTTGTGATAAAAAAAATTAAGGGAAGATTTTAAAAAATTTAAAGACTTCTTTTAAATGTGACATTAAACACGGTAACGGACCTTTACCTATTGCAAGTGGGTACAAATCAGTTTGTTTACTGAAAAGATATCCTGGGAACCAGCAGTTAGCGTAATGGCTATGTTGCTGGACTCCCACGTAGTTGACCGCGGTTCAAGTTCCGGACCTGGTGGCTTAAAACTCATGCTGGGTGCATGTGCGTGCGTGCCTAAGATCCCAAGAGGAGAATGGAGGAGAAGGGATTGCGGCGTGACCATCCCCCTGGGGGGTGATTTCTCGCTTTCTGTCTCTATGTCTCTGTCTGTCTGGCGAGCGCACGCGCCCTATAGCAAAGACCTCTCCAAAAAAAAAAAAAGAAAAGATATCTTAAGGCAAAGAAACAAATATATTTCTGAAACATTTAAATTAAAAATGTATAATAGTCTATTTATTTATGGAATTTTTCTTTTTTTCAAATGAAGGATAAAGCCTATCGTCCCCCTGTTTGGATATCTGAGCTATCATTCCTGTAGAAACCACACTTGATTGAATTTTTTATCATTTCTTTTTCATCTGAATGTAGAATCGTTCTAGTTTGATAATCTCCTTTCCGAATATTCTGTAACTATCTGTCTCTCAGTTCAGCAGCAGTTGGTTTTGGCTTCTTGCCTTTTTGTTTTCTAATCATTCAGTTGATTTCTGTAGGAAGAGCAGTTTTTTCCTTATTTTTTTTTTTAAGAGAGAGATTTTTGCTATAGGGCACATGCACTTCCTAGATAGACAGAGACAGAGAGACAGAAAGCCAGAAATCACCTCCCATGAGGAATGGCCACGCTGCAGTCCCTTCTCTTCCATTCTCTCGGGATTTTGAGCATGCATCTATGCACGCCTGGCATGAGTTTTAAGCTGCTGGGTCCAGGACTTGAACCACAGTCAATGACATGGGAGTCTAGCGATGTAACCATTACACCATCTGCTGATCCCCAACTTTTTCCTTTGTGCTCATATTTTATCAATTTACATAATATTAAATTATGTTATTTCATCAGAATGTTGATTTTTGGAACAGACACAGCTGATCCATGCTAAGCCTGTAACTCAGCTGATGGGAGGAAAGTGCACGGGCACCATAGGGAGCAGCGCCACCGTCAGTGTGCAGCATGCTCCGTGGGCGCTGTCAAGTGGCCGACTAGTTAGCCAGGATTGGTTTAGAGACCTGCTATTGTCTCTTAGCCAATGATTCAGGTTTTAGAGGGACTAAACAAAATGCTATTCAATAAGAACAAAACACAGAATTTGACAACTAGAAACAGTTCTAGCTTATTTTTTTTTCTGTTGTAAGTGTTTTCATATCTTTTCTTCATGAGTGTGTATGTGAGAGAGAGAGAGAAAAAAAACACCCCCAACAGGGTCTTATGAGCCACCCTTCGTCTCAGCCAGCGGGATCATGGGCACACACGCAGGCTCTGAGTTGTCCCAGAACATGAACCCAGGACCTTTCCTATGTGAGCCCAGTAGTGTTATTGCTGCACCACTACCTGGCCTCCCCGCGATGAGGATTAAAGTTTTATGTTTTATTTTATTTAAAAATTTTTTTTTAATTTATTTTTTATTATCATCATAATCTTGTTTATATTACCTTGGATTGCATATAACTTTACAGTGTATTACATTGCTTTTTCAAAAGGGGAAAATATGTATTATTTTTTGTAAGAGAGGATTTTGCTATAGGGTGCATAGGCTTGCTGGAGAGACAGACAGTGAGAAATCACCCCATGGGGAGATGACCCTTCTTCATTCTCCTTTTGGTATTTTGGGTACACATGTACACATGTCCAGTCTGAGTTTCAAGCCGCCAGATCTGGGTCTCAAACCACTGTTGTCCGTGTGGGAGTCTAGCACCTTAACCACCATGCCACCTGCTGGCCCCTAAAATTTCAAGATGAAAACATTTATGGCTTGGTCATGGTGGTGTGTGGTGCTAAGACATTGTTGTACTCTATAGCTGGGACCACATGGGAGGTCTGGTTTGATTCCTGGTCCAACCCAAATGCAGGACATAGTAGCATGTGCCTGAAATTTCAGGGACTTGAGGGGCCAAGGGAGGAGGATTATGACATGGTGAGACCTCATCTTAAAAAATGACAACATCCTCCCCTTGCAAGTTCTCTGTGCCTGCCCTGATACTAAAAAGTTGAACAAGGTTTGTTGTTTGTTCTTGGAAGTTTACATAGCTGAGCTGGAGGGAGACAGATGAGAGCAGCCTTGTGATGGTGAGGCCCTGAGTGTTTCCACCTTGCACAAAGAAGACCAGTGTAGTTACTGACAGCTCTGCTAGTTAGGGACAAGACCATTGTGGAAAGCTTCCTGGAGGTAGTGATACCTGCCTACATTGCAAATTCAAGTTTTCAAAGGGACAGAGGTTTGTTATGTGTGTGAATTGAGATCGAGTATAAGACTAATTAAGATACTGGCTGAATGCCAATGCTTTTGGAAATATAAATTCATACAGGAGCTAGAAGATCTGAGAATATGCTGACCTGCTTCCCTTTTTCACCTTTCTCATTTTTGATTCTGTGGTTTAGTGTTAAATTTGCTTGTTTAAAGTATATTTAGTCAGATTTAGAATTGAAGCTTAGAATTAGATCTTCCCAGTGGTGTGGGAATGGTTCCAGTAACATGGTTCCAGTAACATTTTTCTTTTTCTAATTTTTAAATAAATTAATATTGATGTGGGTGTTCAATGATTTTTCAGGTTGACATGAACAGGAAGAATAGTACTCTGTAGGAAAAGAGTAAGTGAAATAAAAGAAAAAGAGGGCCTCTTTGGAAAGGCCAAAGGTTTCAGGGAATTCATGAGATTTTTCTATTTCACATTTGGAAGAAATTCAACTCTAAATTTCTCCTATTGAAAAAGTCCAAAGTAGTCTTTTTATTGTGGATGATTGATATATCAAAGTATTTGCTTGAAAAATACTGAATAGAGTAGACAAATTTGGGGCAGGGTATTTTTACATGTCTCCATGTGTTGAAATTTTTATTCTTCTGAAAAATCAAATGAGACTATCACAGACTAAGCTTCTTGATTGCTTCCCATACTCAGCTGTTTTCCTTACCTGTACTGGTTAGATGTCCTGACCTACATAGACAGATCATATTGTTTACATTTAAGCTACTTAACTTCCTATTTAACTAGCTATTTGAGTAGAAGTACTCTCAAGGCAGAGATGTAGAAAAGATCCCAGAAGTTCTCAGAACCTATTTATTAAGTTAAAAAATTTAAGTTAAATTTATTATTATTTATTTTAATTTTTGTTATAGAACATGTGTGTTCACCAGAGAGAGAGGGAGAGGAAAAGAGAAAAAGTAAATGAGAAAGCGAGCAAGCAAACTGCTAGATCTGGGACTCAGATCATGATTGACCATTTGGCGTTCAGCACCTTAACCAACATACCACCTGCTGGTCCCTATTTATAAACATTTTAAACTGCAAAAATTTTATCCCCCCACAGAAAAAGCTCAAAAATGATAAATCCTGTTAAAACAGTTATATTTAGGAAACATGACAGGTTTTAGCAAATGTCATTGCACTTATAAATATCTTTATACTTTTTCCACATCTTTTGTACCTTTTGTTACAAATTAAAGCAATAATATCTTTTATGTCTGATATGTGAAAGAAATAATTATCTCTAAAAGTAGGCAATGCAATTTAAATGGAATTTTGAAACTAAAGAGAGTAGTTTGATTTATTAATATATATTTATACCTTTCAAAGCCAATAAGATAATGACATTAAGAAAAGCTCTTACTTAACATGTGAAAACATTTTGCATTTGACACATTAATCTGTGCCTTTATCTCAGTCGTTATTTTTGAGTGGCTTATTATAAGTTACCTGAACTTATTGTTGATTTTTTTTTTTTTTTACCATTTTTAGTAATCTGGTGATAGAAACTATTCACATGGGATTTTTAAGCTTATTCCTTTGATCATTAGGTTGCACTTTATTGTTGGTCTTACAAACTATTTTCAAGTAGTAAAGGGGAAAGTGTATAGTCACAACACCTCACTCCCTTTCCTTTCACTCAGTTGCCTTTTCCAGAAAAGAATAATGTTACTTATTTCTTATTTTCTCTTAGCGTTATAATGTGGGTTTTTTTTTTTATTATTTGACTGAAGGGGATGGATGATTTTCAAAGCTCAAATTAGATTAAAGTAGAGTTTTTATAGGCTTCTTTGGAGGATATGAATTTAACAGAACAAAATTAACACAGTAAGAATTTGGTAGTGAGTATACATAAAAAAGTTTTAAACAGCGATGTAGGG